GCAAACTTAAACTTTACAGCTTTGTATTCTCATATGGTATTTTGTGTGATGTAATGAGTTTGTAACAACACACTAACAAAAAATTGCAAACGTTAACAAAGATTGCTTCTAATAAAAGAGGGTGTCAGAGCTTGCCCTGGGCTCTCATCCCGATTTGGCTTCAAGACGACTGCCTCAGTGTCTTCATTCATGAGAGACCACCATAGGCGACCACTGATCTAGTCCAACCCCCTGCCCAAGTGGGAGACCCTATGCCATTTCAGACGAATAGTTGGCCAATCTCTTCTTAAAAACCTCCAGTGTTCACAAGCACCCACAACTTCTGGAAGCAGGTTGTTCCATTCATCAATTGTCAGAAAATTTCTCCTTAGGTTGCTTCTCTGGTAAACAGAACAACAGAATAACAGAGTTGGAAGGGACCTTGGAGGTCTTCTAGTCCAACCCCCTGCTCAAGGAGGAATTCTGCTCAAGCAGAATTCAAGCAGAACTCTGGACAAATGGCTGTCTAATCTTTTCTTGAAAACCTCCAGTGATGGAGCACCCACAACTTCTGAAGGCAATTAGCCTGTTCCACTGGCTAATTGTTCTCACTTTTAGGAAATTCCTCCTTCATTCCAGGTTGCTTCTCTCCTTGATTAGTTTCCATCCGTTGTTTCTTGTCTTGCTTTATGGTGCTTTGGAGAATAGCTTGACCCCCTCTTCTTTGGGGCAGCCCCTCAAATATTGGAACATCATGTCACCCCGGTCCTTCTTTTCATTAAAGTAGACCTACTGAATTCCAGCAACCATTCTTGATATGTTTTATCCTCCAGCTCCCTAATCATCTTTGTTGCTCTTCTCTGCATTCTATCTAGAGTCTCAACATCTTTTTTATATCATGGAGACCAACGGACACCATATCTTTCTTTCTAGCTATAAATTTATCGAGTGACATAATTCCCGGCAAACATTCCCCATCTATACAAATAGCACAGACATAAGTATGGAACGTGGATATTTAACATTTTGTATCACTTCTTCATGTTTCAAAAGCATATATCAACAGCATATTTCAAAAGCATATATCAACATTAAATGATTTCTCTGTTTGCTCCTTTATAGCCTCTGGAAGCAAATACTTTTTATTTCTTTCCTAATCATTTAAATGTGTGTTGAAAGAACAGTTACTTTAGTTCTATAGTTTGTTTGTTTTTTAAAAAAATAAGCAATCAGCGTTTATGTCTACATAGATTCTCAGCCATCCAGGCAATGGTTGTTCCAAAGATGCTTTATGAAAAAGGCGACTGGATTTTGTTTTTCCTTGAAGACATTTCTCTTCTCATCCAAGAAGCTTCTTCAGTTCAGTCAGACTTGAAGAAGCTTTTTGGATGAGAAGCGAAACATCTTCAAGGAAAAAAAAAGAAAAAGCACCTTTGGGACAATCCATTTTAAGATAGATTCATTTTAGTCATGGACATGGCAAAAAAATTGAGGATGATTTTTTAAAATCTCCATGTTGATTTTATAAGCTTATAATGTTATGTGTTTGAGAGAGTGAAGCATTTTAATAACATTATTATCGATTCATTAACCATATCGTTCCTCATCCTGAAAATCTGTTGAGAACAGGAATTCCTAACTTGAACTTCCAGATTGTTGGACTTTCTGGTGTTTTCTGGAACAATATTTTTTCTTGGTTGCATCCAACGTCTATGGGAGACGTTTCTTGGTTGCATCCAGGTCATGGTTGTCCCAAAGGTGTTTTGTTTCAAAAGGCGACTGGACTTTCTGGTTTTTCCTTGAAGGTGTTTCGCTTCTCATCCAAGAAGCTTCTTCAGTTCTGACTGTTGCATCTAATCTTCTTTATTAAGAGAAAGGAAGAGATGGAAAGGATGACTACTTTGCTCAGGAAAAGCGCCATGCAGAGAACAGAGATGGATAGTTGTGGTGTGTCTGTGGATTGCTTGTCTGTGGAGAAAAAACACAGTGGATTGTGTGTCTGTGGGGAAAACACAGTGGATTGTTTTGATGTAATCATAATCTTAGCTTGTGTAATACATTTTACAAATAAATACATTTTACAAATAAAATAAAATAATAAAATAAAGCCTTGCTCCATCATATGTATTCAAGGGTTTCATCAGAGTACAATAAAAAATAACAACATGAAAATGGCAGACACTTTTCACTCCCCTATATGCTTTATCAACTCCACTGCAGGAAATCGTCTATCTTCATTCCATCCATAGATAGCAATAACACTCAGAATTATATACCGCTTCCCAGTGCTTTCCATCCCTCTCTAAGCGGTTTTGCAGAGTCAGCCTCTTGCCCCCAACTATCTGGGTCCTCATTTTATCGACTTTGGAAGGACGGAAGGCTGAGTTAACCTTGAGCCGGTCAAGATTGAACCCCTGGCAGTGTGCACTGAGTTAGCCTGCAGTACTGCACTCTAACCACTGCACCACTGTGGCTCAGGTAGTCCTTAGTAAGGCCACACCTGGAATCTGCATCCGGTTTTGGTCGCCACATTATAAAAAAGATGTTGAGACTTTCGAAAGAGTGTCGAGAAGAGCAAGAAAGAGGATTAGGAGCCTGTTCTGACCCAAACCCTTTTCCAATAAAAGAAACACGAACCAAACGGAACAGGAACCTTTTAATGATTCTTACGAATCCCCTGTTAAAAGGCTGTTGCAAACTAATTAACTTTGATAAGCACAAGCCTCGCCAAAACTGTGCAAGGCTGCCAAGAATAACAGATAAGAAATAACACCTAGAGATATTTTATAACACAAGAGTCTTCAAATACCAACTTAAGATACTGTAATGTCCATGAGGCTGAGTTTCAAAACGTCTTTGCTTCCTGCAAAGAACGTTCGCTTCACAGTTGCCTTTTATCTTCTTGAAGGAGGGGCCATTACCTTGCAGCTTTACTCCTGAGTTGCCTGTGCTGCTGCAGCTGCTCTTTCCTATGAGCAGCCCTGTGTGCACACTTTGACATAAGACATAAGAATTTATTTGTCATTACACTCGCAAGCGGGTGCAACGAAATGAGGTGCTCTTCCACAAAGTAAAACTGGACAAACACCACTAAAAAGAAAAAAAATTAAACTAAACACAACCAACCATACAATAATCTCTATGCAATTTAAAAATGTAAATACCCCATTACTCTCAGCCATTAAATTCCACAAAAATTCTTATGCACTTGGCACAGGCTCCTCAGGAACCTCCTCATCGTTGCTGCCAGCCCCCACAATCTCTGAAGACAGCAGTCCACTCCCTAATGGTCCTGGCCCCTCACCTGAGTCCTCTCTCTCCTCAGCTGTCCACACCTGCTGCCAGCTAACCACAACAGAGCCTGGTGGCTAAAACATACAAAGAATGGTTGCAGGAATTGCGGGTGTAGTCTAATGAAAAGAAGGACTGGGGGTGACATGATAGCGGTCTTCCAATATTTGAGGAGCTGTCCTGAAGAAGATGGGTCAACTATTCTCCAAAGCAACAGAGGTCAGGACAAGAAACAATGGATGGAAAGTAACCAAGGACAAAAGCAACCTAGAACTTAGGTGAAATTTCCTAACGGCGTTAACAATTAACCAGTTGGAATGGCTTGCCTTCAGAAGTTGTGGATGCTTCATCACTGAAGGCTTTTGAGAAGAGACTGGACAACCACTTGTCTCAAATGGTAAAGGGTTTCCTCCTTGAGAAGGGGGTTAGACTAGCAGACCTCCAAAGTCCCTTCCAACTGTATTGTAGCACTGGCACTTAGACTTATATACCACTCCACAGTGCTTTGCAGGCCTCTCTAAGTGGTTGACAGAGTCAGTATATTATCCCCAACTCTCTGGGTCCTCATTTTAGCGACCTCAGGAGGATATCAATCTTGTGCCAGTCAGAATTGAACTCCTGGCAGTGAACAGAGTTAGCTTACAATACTGTATTCTAAGCACCGCGCCATCACATCTTAGATGTAGTTATTTTTTAAAAAATCATCTTTTTACACAGATGTGGTACATACTGATTTTCTTCTCTTTAAAAAACAACAACATCCTCCTCATTCCTAGGCATCATACAAACCTCGTCCTCATCCCATCCAAAACCTATTTTTGCTTACATCCCAGAAGGAAAGGAAATGATAGCTGATTTTTTTTTAGAAATGGTTGATTTTTATAAACCTTTCCCTATTGAAAACTGACTCATTCAGCAGTTTTCGTTCCTTAGAATGAATCTTGCTCCTTTCTAAATCTATAATTCGCTCCCCAAAAGTTCGCCCTTCCTTCTCTCTCTCCTTATCTCCTGTTTTTATAACTCCAACCTAATTCCAAAATGGCTCAGTGGACAAGATCTCCAATCTTCTCCGACATCTTCTTTGATGGGGTTGCAGTCTGGTGCATTGACAGGACTTTGTTATGAAGACAAAATGCAACAGAGAGCACAAAATATTCCCAGGAAGGGGCTCCATATATGACAAGCCCTTGCCTCTTAAGATTCGGTATCTTAAAACCTTAAGTGGCAACTCATAAAATATGTCAATGGTCTGTTTAGAGCTGCCAACAGAAAGGGAGGAGGGAGCAGTGTGGCAGCTTGCAACCAAAAGTGCATTCCATACATAGTTTTCAAAGATAGTAACTAGGTAACCGAAGTTTCTGCCGTGCAAAATTCTAACTGGAGAACATGATTGATGACTCTGGACTATGGAGGTGTCCCATTGGAGAATATGAATTACCATACACCCAGGGCATTGGAGGGGGGGGAAACCAGGCTCAAGGGTGACAATGAATGATGTGTCTCAGAGTCGGCTACACCCAGGCAATGCTGGACCTTTTAACTCCCAATAAATCCTTTTGAAGTTTTGGAAGTTTGGCTTGAGACTCAGGATTTAAATGGGGTTAAGTGCTGGAATGCTGACATTAAGTATATTAAAGAAAGACAGTTTAAATCATGATATATTAAGGAGGAATACAGTCTAATCTTTAAAAGATCTGAAAAAGACAGAGAAAGCTGCAAAGTGTAAATCAGCAAATTCTCAGAAGAAAACAAAAGATGTTTACTTCCTTCTAGTTGTTGCGTAATGAAGAGCGTGGCGGTTTCATTGACCCGAGACTGGGAATCCTGCTGGACCAGGCAAAGGAACATGGAGAAGTTCACGTCTTCGGTGGCCATCATCTCGAGGCTGCTGTTGAGGGAAAAGGTCCCATCGGGATTCGAGGTCTTCATGCCAACCTTTCCTTTTTTGGCTTGGGCACCCTTGGCAAACAACTCCACTTTTGCATCTTCTGGATAAAAGCTTTCTGCATTGCAAGTGACCGTCACCGGGGTGTTCAGCTGGATGGGAGAAGGTGGGTTGATCTCAAGTCGCACCTTGGGAGGAACTGAGCAAAAAAGATCATTCAAAAGAGCCTCAACTTCATGATTCCCACATGCAGAATGGGGTGGAAGTCCCAAGTGATTCTGCTTACCCATTGTTGCATTGGGGGAAATAATTCCAGGACAAGTAGGATTAAAATATATCTCTGTCAGGGCTCCAACACATCAACCCCAGGGGTGGGATTCAAATTTTTTAACAACTGGTTCTGTGGGCATGTCTTAGTTGGTGGCATGGCTTGGGGGTCATGTGACTGGGTGTGACTGGACGTGGCTTGGTAGTCATGTTATTGGCTGGGTGTGGCCAATTCACATATCACTCACATCGAGGCACGCATCTCCTCTCCTGGCCTCTCGTGACTGTGGGGATGCTGCAACAGTCGTAAGTGTGAAAAAGGGTCATAAGTCACTTTTTTCAGTGCCATTGTAACTTTGAATGGTCACTCCACACAAGCAAAGTACCAACAGAGGAGGGGAAAAAACTCCAGAGAAGTTCCTGAGACAGGAAGTCTCGTCCTGCCAAGAATGTAATAAGGGTTAACGGAGAGGCAATTTCTGTAAGCAACACCAGAATGTTTCCTTCCTGGCTCCCTTACAGGATTAGCCCAGTAATTTCTTCTAACAACCGGTTCTCCAAACTGCTTAGAATGTTAACAACCGGTTCTAGTGAATAGGTGCAAACTGGTAGAATCCCACCCCTGATCCACCCCCATTAAAATCATACGTCTCTAGACGCATCTCTCAGAGTAAACAAAAAATGATTTATTAGGAGTGGCCATGTTGGTGTTAGCTGGATGCAGCCGACACTAAAATCTCCCCCTTTCCCCCCACCCCCTGGATGTATATTCTCCAATGAGACACATCCATAGCCAAGAGTCATGTTCTACAGTAATATTCTTGCACTCCGACAACTTTGGACTGCCAAGGCAATTATCTGAGGCATTTAAGGAATGCACTGCTTTCCCCCACTCCCTTTCTGCTGGCAACTAAAAGACCAAAGGAGTATTTTTTAGTTGACAATCTCGCCAATTTGGAACTCTACTCAACTTGACCCAAGTCCCTGGGGAAAAAGCCAGAGGTACCATGTTTCCCCCCCAAAAAGACTCAGTCTTATCTTCTTTTGGGACCCAAAATAAGCACCAGGTCTTATTTTCGGGGGATGTCTTCCCCGCTTCCCTTAGGAGCATTGTAGCCTTCTACACCCGGACACCTGTTGTGATGCTGTCAGATGTCTTATGCAGCCGCTCACAGCCGTTCATGGCATGAGGCCACCTGGCTTATTGTGCTGGTGCTGCCACTTATGTCAGGGTGTCACACGGCCCATTGCGCCAGTGCCACTGCTCACGAGATGGCTCATCATACCGGTTCAACTGCTCATGACAGGAGGCTGCATGGTGTATTGTGCCATTGTACACATGAGAGGTGGCACTGGAGCAACATGCCACACAATGTCCTCCTGTAAGCAGTGGCATTGGCATGATGCACCACATGTCAGCCAGCCGCAAGCAGTCAAAAGCAGCCGCAGAAGAAGTCGGGTAGCAGAGAGACAGGTGTCGGGGTGTGGGAGGCCTGGCTGCAGCGGTCCAAAGGTAAATGGGTTGTGGGGCAAGTGGGATAGCTCCACCCCCCACCCCCACCCTACCTTGATTTTTATGCATGCACTTCACCCCACCTCATACAACCAGATGGTTGATGGGACTTAACTGGGGCTTATTTTGGGGGGGTAGGGCTTATATTAGGCACAGGCATGAAAATTGGAATAGGACTTATTTTGGGGGTAGGTTGTATTTTAGAGAAAACCTGATAGAAGCTTTCTCTAAAAACTTGCTCCCCACAACCACAGCCCTGTGAGGGAACTTAGGTTGAGAAAGCACGACTGATCTTAATGGGCTTCCATGGGTTGAGAACTTGATTCTTCCTGTTGCTATTCCTTCTACCAGGTCTGGACTTAATGGCCTCATCCCTCTCTGCAACCAAAGGTTCACCTACCTCTTAGGATAGTCCCAAGTGCAAAGGTCTGCTGGAGAGGACCATCCAACGATCTGTGTTGGATCTGGCAGGTCAGCTGAGACTTCATATCTCCTTCCTCCAGCGGGATTTCCACCCTGCTCTCCACTTGGTATGAAATGTTCTGCTTTTCATAAGAATTCAGGATGTTGGTCTGGGCAGCCGGTATTCTTTTCCCATCCTTCAACCAGTTGACCGTGATCTCTTGGGGGGAGAATCCCAATGTGGAGCAGTTGAAGGAGGCCTGAGACCCTGCTGTGATTCTTTGTGTGGGGCCAAGAACCACAGGTTGGGATGGCTTGGCTGAAGGAGAAAGTAGAGAGAGAGAGAGACATCAGTTGACGTTCCTCACAGACAATACAGGAGAACACAAGATGGTTTTTGGTTGGAGAGACTCAACTTTGAACATGGGAATTACT